GTTTCCACCCTCCTGACAATTGATTCTCAGTCCACTGAGGGAGAGAGAGGCCCCTCCTGTGCCACAGACCCCCCAAGAAACACAGCTGCCACATCCTGTGCTTCCATGTCACCACATGGCACCACCCAGAGAAAAAAAGTTTGCCAATGGTGACCCTCTCCTTTCCATGCACAGTGCTCTCACCACCAATGCATGGATGGACAGACTGCTTTTAGGATTTTCCCTTTCAAGGATGCCCTGCCAAGAGGGGAAAAACAACACTTCAGTTTTTGATTTTTGGGACCAACAGTCCCCCCCCCATTTTCCCCTGGGACCAAGGGTCCAAGAACAGAGATCTTCTTCTCTTCTTCCTCTCTGAAGACAGGGGGCACCACCACAAACCTCCCTAACTTTTCTCTGTTCGCTCTACTTCTGTCTTTTCCCAGCTGAAGCAGGTCTCTTTGGCTCACCGGCATCCTCCTAAAATACAGTCTCTCTTGGAGGAGAAGATCAGTTCAGTCTGTGGCTACCAAGAAAAAGTCCAGCCAAAAAGCCACTCCATCATCTCCTCCCACCTAGAATTTCTCCTTCTAACATCCCAGGGTTCAAGCTGTCTCTCTTCCTCTCTTTCAAACCGAGGAGGAGAAAAATTTCACAAAGCTTTCATTTCTCCGGAAGGGTTAAAAATCCCGACTCCCAAGGATGGCTCGCTGCCCAGGCTCCAGCTCCCACAGGCAGCTGGGTACCTTGCAGCCCCCCCCCCCCCCTCCGCTCTTCTTCCCTGCGGTGAACTGCTGACAGAAACTGCTGCTGTCTCTTTCTCTCTCTTGAGAGAGAGAGACTCTGGGGGGGGAACGGAGACATCCCAGATTTCTCCACCCTTCCATCTGCAGGGGGGGTTCCAGTCCCTTCCACCCTTCGGCCTACCTCAGTCAGGCCATGGGCCTTCCCCTCCCCCACCCAGCCACGGGCAGGGGAGAGTCCTGCACTGCATGCTGACCAGAACCAAAGAGAGCGAGTTCTCCTGGGAATTCTGCTTCTAACCCCTCTGTGTTCTCAGAGGCATGTCCACCTTTAATTGGTCAATGTCCAAATTGACCTCTTCCTTCCAGAAAAATTCTTTTTCCGTGTCAAACCATGACAGGCCCACTTCCTCTTCAAGGTTTTTGAAGTCTAAGTCTACTAATTTACAGAATTCTGTACACAAATCTTTCATTCAGCTACCACAGGTATACAAATAAAACCCTACAACATATATATATCCTATAGGCTTGGAAAACAAACAAAGTCTTCCACTTAAGACTAGTTGAAATCCATGCTAAATTCAAATGGTTTACCTCCAACCTGTTTTCTTTGGTAACATATAGATAATGAAAAGATAGTCATATTTGACACCTTGCTTCACTGATTCATCTCCAATACCTAATTTTGCCAAAACTTATAGATATTGCTGATTATTTTCCTATATACTCCTGAAGAGAAAATAATGCATAAAACAAATATATACAGTGTACAGGCATATTATGTCCAGTAGTGAAGGTTTATGGCTACAAACTAACATTTAAGCCCAAACATTGCTTTCTGAGACCAGATAAAACTTCCACTGATGGCAGTCAAAATTATAAACATAGAAAGTTATATCACATGTCTCTTGCTACTTAATAAATACGTACATACATGCTTAAAATATAAGCATGCAGAATACTGTAAATTGTTCAGTGCATACCCATGTAAAACACTAAAAACACATGACTTTTTTTGTACTATAGCAATATATGTATTTACAACAGCAAACAACAAATAAATGTTAACAATTTTATGCTCTGGAGAACAATCATAAGGTTTTACAAAATGTTCAGTAGTAATGGAATACAGAAGAATTTCAAAAATACAGGATATAAAAACCAAATCAGTGGAAGACTGAATTTGCTCCAAAGTACAGTAAACATTGCAACCAACTTGTGCTAGCTGAACTATTTTCAGTGTATATGCTGAGTTCTCACTTTTTAGAATTACAATAGTAAGAGACTTTGCTTAATTTTTCACAGTAGATTAGAACAGGACAATGATGTTCAGTGCAGCACCTAAAAGTGGTATTTTAATGTTTAATCATGGAGAGAGTTTATTTTTTAACTAATATTTTTAAATAATCTTACCATGCAAAAAGTTTTCCAGAAATTGCTTTCAACATTTTAAACTCTGATCCCATTAAAAGTAAAAATATATCATTAATACACAAGAAAGGTGCACACAGCATAATGTAACACAGAAACAGTAACCAACATAGTTCAGAGGGAAATATTTCACTTTGAAAGGAAGCACTATAAGTTCCCTCCTACAAGTTAAGGAGGGAAAAATATCCTCCATTCTGACCCAGAATTTTTTCTTTGTATTTGCTACATGTGTGCATTTGTATGTATGTCTAATTTTTAAACAAGATCAAAAAATATTGCATAGACATGCTCATTTGTTCCTTAAAACCTTTTGATTTGATACCTTTTACTTTGCACTTGCAAAAAGTTCAAAAAGCACATGTGGTCAGTTAACACAGCTCAGCCTAAGCTGTGTTCTCATCTTATGATCAAAAGGATACACCTTTTGTCCCATGTTCAAAAGCCTTTAACCCATTTAGGCTTCTAAATCCAACAACACTTTTCAATGTGGGACTGAGAAGTTGGCACTTTTTAAAAGTTTGCCTTACATTTACATAAAATAAAGCACTACTACTACTTTAAGTTTTGATGACTAAAGATACATAATGGGACAGTAAAGGTCAAGTTAATTAAAAAATGGATGGCAAACAACTTCAGACATTTCCCAGTTTCCTCATTTTAATTATTATTTTCCTATTTTTAAAATGGTTTTGTCCATCCTAACCATATGAATTGTCCAAACAAATAACACAAGCTTAAGAACTGAACATATGACTAGGCTGGAGAAGCAGTGAGAGTGACTGAAAGTACTGTCAGATACCTAAAAGAAATACACTAATTAAAACAAATTTTTAGAAGCTTTGAGTTTTGGTTTGTTTGGGGATTTTTTAATAAATTTAAACTTGAATCTCTATCCAACCCTGTGACTTCAACGGTGGTTTACTGCTATACTGCATTTTACAATATTAACTGTTAAACAGCTGCATGTGCACAAACGCTTTCAATCAAATGTGACTGCAGTTGACAAAGTACAACACGAAAAATTTGTACACAAGAACAATTTCTATACTGATTTCTACTCAAATACAGATATGCTATTAAGTATGAAACAGAATATTTACCTCGGTTTCATGTACATCATGCTTACACGTTCAGAAGCACAGTTTATGCAGATACTAATATATGAAGAAAACATTCATACAGGCAATCAGTGTGTTTTCTTCAAAGCTTTCTAAGTGATGGCTTCTTGTCTATTTGCTCTGAAAACACTTTATTTAATTTGTTCTAAAAGTAATGCCACAATTAGGCCCGAATCTACCATTACCAGTGGGTGGATCATATAAAACAATACCAAATCTGCATTACTGACTGTGGAATCAAATCTCTGAATTCCTTCTCTGTGTGGTATATGTTGGTACCATTCAGTAAGTTTCATGCATTTTTAAAAACTTGGGAGAAACCTCTAGCATTACTGCAAGACCAGGAAATGCAGCAACAATTTTGACCCAAGTAACAAGTCAAACATCAATTGCCTCTCCTGTAGCAAATGCATATAGTTAAGTAATTATACTTGAACATCCATAAAATTTTAAAAATGCAAGCTATCTGTCCTCTATTTTCTCTTGGTTTTAGATCTTGACATAGCCACAGCACACACTTCTATCAACCCAAAATTAGGCCAAAATGAGACAGAATGTTATTACTGGTAGCATTATATCCATTTCCACCCCTCCTTTTTCCACATCAGTTAAAGATGCCAATACCTTTCTCCATATACAGAAGAGAAAATGTATTATTTAAAGTAGAAAACAACACGTTTATAAGCAATCATTAAAATAAATTAGTTCCTTTTAAATCACCTTAGTGTAAAGGCAGTTTATTCCCCCAATATAAATAATTACTTTCATGTACCTGACCCAAGACTAAAGTCTTTGGCATAAACACCCCACATCCACTTGGAACATTCCCATTCACCCAAATACTGGTGCAGACATATTTCAAGGCCTGCTAGTCTACGACAGAAGCTGTATTACAAGAACTACACAGTGTAGTAGAGCACCTCAGATACAGACAAATGTGTTTTAATTAAAAAAGCTTATTTTAACATAAGCCAAATTCCTATTAAACAAACATTGCCATTGCACACTTGTGGCTCCAAAATAACAACCTGTTTTAGTTAAAGATAAATTAAACAATAGATTTAATTTCTTGGAACAGTGGGTGAATTCCAAAGGTCTTTAAAAGATCCTGCTATCCACCAGTATACTTTAAGGTCACTTTTCACCTTCACCTTTTGCTTTAAAAGTCAGTCTAGAATTTGGGCATAAGCCCCTTATCCCATTTTGCCTCATTGAATAAAAATCACAATGAAAAAAATGCAACTGGTGACCCAGCAACCTAAGATTCGGAGAACAATGCACCAGAAATCTGCAAAACAACCCCCCTGCAAGTTCTTTCATCAATCTGCTTTCTTACCATCACTCTCCTATACCCATCATCGCCGATATTCCCCAAACACCCCCTCTACTGACCAGCCATCCTTTCCCTCTCCATTTTGGAAGGACGGGTTCCCCACCATCGCAAACTCACCCACAGTAACCACGGTTATTTACCCAGCTATAAGCGCCTCGGCGAAGCCTACACATGAGCGCGCACACACAACGCGGTGGCGGAGGAACGACGAGCGTGTCACTACCACCATCGCCACGGCCGCCCCGCGGTGAAGGTGTCAGGCGCCTAAGGAAAACCGAACCGACCACGCCATGTAATGCACTGGAGGGCCAGCCGGACAGAGCCCGGGGCGGCAATGTCTGAGCTGCACCCTCAGAGGCGCTTAAGGCGTGTGTGCTGACGGTGGCCCACACTCACCCAGCAGCAGCAGCTTCAGTTCCCGACGGGCATCTCGCTTGTCCCGGCGCAGCTGCCGCTCGATCTCGTCGTTGATCCGCCGGGCTTCCTTAGCTTCCTCGCTCAGGCAGCACGCCATCATGGACTCCAAAGTCATTCTTCCTAACTGGTCCAGACACAACCCCCACCCTAAAAACGCGCGCGCACACACACCCCACCAGAGCACCAGTCCCGGGGGACACAGACGCTCTCTACCCGGAAGTCCCCACCCAGGCACTGTAGAGCAAGTGCAGCGAGCTGCCTCGATCCCACACACAAAGAAAAAGCGGGCCCCCAACAGCACAAATCCCCCCGTTCCCTGCCTCAAATAGTCGCCGCTTCCAACTCCTCCTCTAAATTATGCACCAAGCAACATGAAAACATCTCTCACTGCAGCCGTGGCGGCAGGAGTGCTTCCTTCGCCAGCCAAGCTGTTGAGCACAAAACACCCCTCTCCCTCCTTCCCTCACTACTACTTCTGCCTCTGCTACCGCTGCCACCACCCGAGTGTGCCTCGCAAACTACACCTCCGCCGCCCTCCGAAATAACCACCTCCCACGGAAATGCTAATGTCCGTTAATCCCTCCCCTCCTCCTCAATTACGCTTCCCTGTCGCTCCTGTTCTAAAGCGAGAGTTCGGCTCCTCCGAAAGTGGGCAAGGCCGCCGCCCGGTAATCTCAGCGTGTGCCTGGCGGGAGAACTTCTTTACGGTGAACCTTTTTTCCAGGCACGGTCGCTTACCCCTCGCGTGAGGAGAACTGCTGCTGAAGAGCTGTCGCGGCTCGTTCCTGCCCTAGTAGTAAGGAACAGAGGGAGGACGAGTAGAAAGGATTCCACCAGAGAGGAAGAGAAGGCAGGTGGGGACTAGGGTATGCACACTATGAGCCCAGCTCTACTGGCTTTTCAATGGCTTGTCTCTGCGGGCGTGGTGAGGTAGAAATATGGCGGACTGCCTCTGTCGCTGCTTCTCCACTTTTTCCCTGCGCCGCTGCGCAATGGGAATGAGCGGCTAGAGGAGCCAGGAATTCCCGAGGTGCAGCTCCCGACCATGCGCGTTTTATTTGCTTTTGCTACCTTTGATTTTAGTCGATAAATGCACATTTTTATTTTACCCCTGCATTCTCTTCCTAGAAGAGATGCCATTGGTTCATAGGGAAAGGGGAGAACTTACACGAGGGGAGAAGTATCTTCACCTTCAGATGACAATTAAGATGTGGGGGATAAAAATATACTAGACACTAGTAACTTTTTTATTCCAGTAATCCTGAAAATACTTGAATACTTCTGTTATATGCAGAAGAAATAAAATATGTTTACAACAGATAAAAATAGTAGTATACTTCCCTTGGTTGTAAGAACCAAATATTCTATCATTTCAAGGCATCGATATATTGCATTTTATATCCTGTTGTTGTAACCTTTGTTCGACCAATGGTTTTGCTACCATCCTTTTTCACAAACCCAGACCAGCTTGCCTTCAATTCCAGTACTAGAAACCCTGTCTTTAACGTAGCCTTTAGTAGCTCCCAGAGTGATAGCACACAATTTGATGGACATATTTCTAGTTTTTGTGGATTTGTAAAATATTTCAAAATTCCTACAGCGTCCCTACCTTTTCCCACCTCCATATTTAATAAATAGCTGGGAATGTTGAAAAATCTCCCAGGAAAGTCATAACAGTCTATTAGGTAAAGGTGCATCACTCTCCATGTTTTAGTTTCACATGCAATAGCATCTCCAGCACCTGTTTTGATCACGTGTTCACTCTTACAACTGTGCATATATGTTGTCAATATGAATTAAGTAGAGTCCACCATAAGGCATAAGACTAAGAGGAAATTAAGAAATGAAAATGTAATAGTCAATAGAATAATATAGTTCTCAGTTTTTAGAGCATGAAAATGTTTTTTGTTATTTACAAAAGTGTGATTTTTGTTTAGATCTATATCAGTTTTCTATGTATAATGTGTGAAAAACGCCAATCACTTGGTTTTTAAAATTTTAAAAGTTTAATAATAATAAAATGGTTATAATAATAATAATACAATAAAGTAATAAAGTTTAGAGTTAGGACAATTACAAGACAATAAAAACCAAGGAATTATGGACGACTGGATCCTCTTGGACACTAAGTCACGAAAAGCATGACTTGTGAACAAAGGAATCACTCTTAAACCAATACACTTGTTGCATATTCATACATCCTTTATGGTTATGCATACATTCTATTCTAAACAAGAAACTCTGTTGTATGCCAACTGTTTCCTTTAATCCCCTGGCATCTTCGTCTGAGCAAGGCCTGAAGAAATTAGCTTCTTCTGATAAGAACCCATAAATTCCTCTCCTTTGGAAGATTTAGGTGTTCCTTGAAGCAAGTATCTCATTCCTAAAAAAAAAAAATCTTCCCCCACATACATAGTCTCTATTTTAACATTATGTTGTAACCTAAAACTACATTTAACACACTACGTAAGAGAATTAATACAGCATAACTTTCTAACATTACACATATAATATTCATTGTAACATTTGCGAAAAGCCAATCATAAATATGCATTTTTCACAATATTTATAAAAGCATTTAAGAAAATTTTACATATTTCTTAAAGTATGTTAACTCCAGTAAATGAATATGTGAATTTTATTCTAAACTCCATAATACTACTATTGACCATTAATGATATTTCAGTAAAAGGATCTTCTTTATTTACCTGATGTGGATTTTAAAATTCATATGTATGTAGGTATATGTATTTATTTATCTATCTTGTGGTCCCAGATTAATGTATTAATATAAAATTTGGTGATAAGAATGTCAGGAAAATTCACAAACATCAGAGATTTATGTCCAAAAAGGAGCCAGAGGAGTCCTGTAACTTTATTTGAATAAAGGGGGAAGTCATGGGACATTCCCCATGGGGTCTCTCAAAATTTTTAGAGGATGCAGCCTCCTTTTTACCTTAATTTCCCAGCCGCATTTCCCTCTCTCTTTCCCCTTTGGCTGAAGTACTTGAGAGATACAGACTTCCTAAAATGCCTAATACCCCCTTCTAATGTATACCCCCCCGTTTTTCTTTTTCCTTGTATCTCTGTTCTTTTTCTCTAAATCCAGAGATGTAACATAGTATTGAGTAAGTCTGTGTGAATTAGTGGAATTCCTATGGAATTTATGATTCCCCCCATTGCTTCTTTCACCTGTTATAAATTATGACACAGGACCAATTTGTGTCACTTTATAAAGAGAATTTTATTAATTTAGCAAGCAAGTAGTACGGGCAAATGCAGCTCTGGGCGGCCGGGGAGCCTCTGCTCCCACCAACGGCTCGCACCGCACCTCCCGGTCTTTCAGTTCTTATACCCCTTCAGTTCTGGACTTTGTGATATTCTCGACGTGCTCTGCATCTGCGCGGCGTGTTGCTAGGGGTCTTTTTTTTTCTGCTGTCCAGTGGTCGTTTGAGGAAAGCTCCTATTCTTTTTCCTCCGAGGTAGCGTTAACCCTGCAATAACTTCTCCAAATATGGTAACACAGCTCTTAAAGATCTCTCAATTCCACTATCTACTAATAGCAGTACATCCTGCCCTCCTGCCCCACTGTTTCCTGTGACTTACACAATCCCTGGGACTTTTCCTGATGAACAAAAACTATGCTATTGTCTTTCACACACCTCTCCCTATCTGGCCTTATCTACTATCAGGCCCACAGTTTGTTTATAAAGACATCTCCTCATTCCTTTAATTCCTCTTTTGGGAAGAGATCTCTTAAGTAAATAGGAGGCTCAAATTATATTTATGGATAGAAAAGTACAATTATTGGTACCTGAGACTGTCTTGGGGTGATTCTACGATGATACTCTATTCCTGATTGTCTGCTTTATGCCCAGAAAAGGTTGCTGAAACTTTAAGGTGGGTTTGAGGGAGGGGCAGGAGCCCTGGGGCTTCTTGCAGCAGCTTTGTTCAAAGCCTCACTCCCAGGCATGCTTAGTGCGTTGCAGACAGGTGCTACTTTGTTGCTTAGCTACCTTGGGTTTTTTGTTAGCTTAGGCAAGAATGTTTTTTTTCCTTTTCCCTGGCCTTGAAGAGACTGCGGCAGCAATCCTTCAGCAGCTTTTGTTTTTTCTTGAACTGTTCGGCTTGCCTTTTGTGAGAAACTACAGATTGAGATATTGTTTATTAAGATATATGTAAAGGTTAGACAATTGTGAGAAATTACAGATTGGGATAGTGTTTATTAAGATATATGTAAAGGTTAGACAATTGTGAGAAACTACAGAGTGGGATATTGTTTATTAAGATATATGTAAAAGTTAGACAACTGTGAGAAAAAATACAGACTGAGGTATTGTCTATTGAGATAAAGTTAGACCACGGAGGTATGCAAACAGCAAACGGACACAGCTGATACAAGATAAGATAACGAGCACTTCAACCGGAGACTGAAGATAAAGATCACAACAACCATTCACACTAGGGGACTGCTTAAACAAACACAAGATAACGGCAGGAATTGACTTGCAAATTCCAGGGAGACAAAAGAAGAAATAGGAATAAAAGGAGACAGTTGGAGCGAAATCGGGGGAGCAGCCAAAGCTTCGGATTTTTGGAAGTTTTTGGGTTTGCTTCCCCAGCGCTGTTACCTTTGTTCATATCCTACTTGATGTAAATTAATAAAATTCTTAATTGGATTATGTTCCGTTGTGGCGCAAATTTATAACACTTTGGTCCGAGATCGGACAATCGATAGGGAGACGGTCGGCCAGGACCTGTGAGAGCCGCGCCACCCAGCCCCAGACCTTGGGAAAAGCTGAATCAACAAGAGAAAGGACACCAAAATCCACCACCTTCATCTGCTCTGAGGAGACCAATGCCAGAGGTTCAACAGGTTCCCATCTGTTTTGCCTGAGCTGCTGCATGAACATTTTTCCCCTTCCCTGAGACAAAAAGCCGGCGCAATTTTGTTCCCCCTTGCCACGTGGCCAGCCAGTTTGTTTCTTCCCCTGACATTTTGGGTTTTTTCTCGGGGGGGGGGGGGGGGGGGGGGGGGGAGGGGGAGGAGGGGGGCGGAATGTTCTGACGGTTAAATATCTAGCGGTTTGTTTTTTTTTTTTCACTTGACATGTGGGCACTTTGTCAATAAACAGTTGGGATTTTTTCACTTTAACCCACTGGTATTCATTTTCTCATTGGCAGAAAGAGATTGCTGAAGCCCTTTTCTTTAGAGGAAGCACTCGTTCCAGAGTTTTCTCCTAAACTTGTCTATAAACCTGGATAAAATTTGGTGCCTAACTTTAAGGGGCAGAAGAAAGTGAAAAAAAAAAATTACATTCTGGTTTGAAACACTTTGTATTGGGGTACAGCAATCACTTGTCACCATGCTGCTTGATTTAATAGTGGCTCTCTGGCACCTAGTCATTGGGAAAAACATGTTCACTATCCTGTGAAAATTTAAAAAGTTTAATAAAGGACAATAGGAGACAAACACCATAGAGCAAAAGATGTTACAGTGAAGCGATATGCGGAATAAATAAATAGACTCCACAACCTCGGGTAGTTATGAAGTGGGCATGTATTGTCAGTGCCTGGCACAAGTGAGATGTCTCGCCAAAAATTTGTACCTCGAGCCTCAGTCTGACCCACACCTTTATTCACAAAGGTGTTCCATATGCAATACATTGCACAACTTTTCCATACATATTCAACCCCTGGCCCCGCCTGTCCTCGTCTCTCATGCTAAATAAGTCCACACCCTTCTGGGCACACGTGGTCTGCTGTGGTGGTCCTGCAGGGGTCTCTCAGTGGTCTCTGAGGCTGAAGATTGTGGTCTTCCTCATGATTGAACTTTTGAACTTTTCCTCTTTGCGAGTGCGCCTTTGGTCTTTTTTGGTGCTTATCTGAGTACGTTTTTCAGTCTTGATAGGCTTGGAGACAGAGGAGCCTCTTTGGGTTCTTTGC